GGGGAGCGGGGCCGCGGCCCCCCGGTCCCCCGGCCCCTCGCCCGCCCGCCCGCCGCCCGGCAGGAGATGGCTATATTTGGAAAGTGACCTCTGGTCGTTCCCGAGCAGCCGCTGCGGATTCAATTGTGGCAACGTAATGGCACGGCCGGGGAGTGGGGAGCGGGGAGCGGGGCTGTCCTGCCTGCATCGTGCCTTGCACCCTGCCTGCACCCTGCCTGGATCGCGCCCGGACCCCGCCTGACCCCGCCTGCAGGCTGCTAGCACCCTGCCTGCACCCTGCCTGCTCCCTGCTGGCACCCCATCCCACCCTGCCCGCACCCCGCCTGCAAACACCCTGCCTGCACCCCGTCCAGCTGTCATGCCTGCAGCCTGCTAGCACCCTGCCGGCACCCTGCCTGCAGACCACTAGCACCCTGCTTGCACCCTGTCTGTACCCTGCCTGCACCCCGTTCAGCCCTGCCTGCACCCTGCTAGCACCCCACCTGAACTCTGCCTGCACCCCATTCAGTCCTGCCTGTACCCTGCCCAACTCTGCTTGCACCCCACCTGCACCCTACCCAGTCCAGCCTGCACCCTACACACTGCCTGCACCCTGCTCAACTCTGCCTGCACCACCTCTGCACCTCACCTGCACCCCGCACCCTGTCTGCACCCTGCCTGCACGCTGTCTGCACTCTGCCCAGCCAGCCAGGCCGTCACCCCCTCCCCTGCATGCCTGCACCCCAAGCTCTGCTCCCACTGGCGATGGATACCTAGAGGGCATCCCCGTGGAGCCCGCTCACTCCTCCCCAGGGCTGGGGACCGTGCCTGGGGCCATGGGGGTGACACCAGCAGTGCCAGCGTCCAGCCCCCCTTGGTAGCAGGGCTCCGAGCCCCCTCAGCGCCTGGCTCTGACCCGCACCCGCCCTGCCAGGCCAGAGGCGATGGTGAAGGGCCACGGGGACCTCTGGGGACGCCCAGGGACCGGGTAGATGTGGCTTGGCTTGGTGCTGCACGTGCCCTGGCCAAAAGCCACCGGCTGGGACACGGAGGAGCAGATCTGCTCCTACCTCTGCCCACACCGGCCCCGCAGGCCAGGGGCAGCGGTGCCTGGCCCTCCGGGCTGTGGTTTGGTGGCTGGATATGGCCCCTGGCAATGGCTGAGGCCCCAAAAGAGCACAGGGGGCTCCCCAGGGCCAAGAGTGACTCATGGGTGCTGCAGAGCCCCAGCTCCAGGGGTTTCAGGGTCCTGAGAGGCTCAGTGCCCCTCGGCAGGTCAGAGGAGCAGCACAGGCTCGGGACAGCAATGGATGATTGTGGGCAGCATGCCCGGCTGTGGCTGAGGGCTGGAGACCCCACCGAGGCTGTGCTGAGCACAGGGGACTCCTCGGCAGCCCGGCGTGCCCATGGGGCTGTGTGGCTGTGCCGGGTCCAGCCCTCGCCCGGCGGCAGTGCCGGGTGAGTGGGTTGGGGGCACACGCGGAGCCCTGGGGCAGGGGCCCATGGGGGAGGCAGTGGGTGGGCAACACTGGAGGCACAGCGTTGGGTTGGTGCTGGGTTGAGCCAGGCGACCTCGGGCCACCGCAGGGACAAGCTGTGACTGGGTGCATGGCACCTCTGTGCTCGCCCCAAACTCCCCTCAGCCCTGCTTCTCTACTGCAGCTGCTCATGTGCCAACCCCAGTGCCAGCCGTGGGGCATGGCGCAGCCGTGGGACACAGGACAGCACAGGGTGTGGGACAGCTGCACAAGCGGCTCCGGCCGCGGGATGCCCGTCCCCAGCACTGGCAGCACCCACACCCGCCTGCACTAGGGCTGCCCCCGGTCCCTGCCGCGGGGTCAGGGCTGTATCGGGCACCATCCTGCACCCTCATTCCCCCGCCACCTCCGTGTCCCCAGGCTTGCCTCCTGTGCCCAGGGTAGGGAGGGGGTCTCTCGGAGCGTGAGGTCTGAGGGGGTCAAAACCCCTCCATGCTGTGCGGGGGGGGGTCACGGCCTGACCCTGCATCCCCCAGCCATGAGCCGCCGCGTGGTGCGCCAGAGCAAGTTCCGGCACGTCTTCGGGCAGCCGGTGAAGGCTGACCAGATGTACGAGGACATCCGTGTCTCCAAGGTGACGTGGGACAGCTCCTTCTGTGCCGTCAACCCCAAGTTTGTGGCCATCATCGTGGAGTCCGGCGGCGGGGGGGCCTTCATCGTCCTGCCCCTCGCCAAGGTGAGCGGGGAGGCTGCCGGGGTGTGGCCCCCTGGGATGTCCTGGGGGGGATGTGCTGATGGACTCTGCTTTTGGGGGGGCTGCTGTGGCCCCAGAGCCTGACAGCTTTGCCCCAACATCCCTGTCCTCAAGTGGGGGCTCGGGGCAGAGGCAGCCGGGGGTGGTCATCGGCACCAGCGAAGGGCGACGTCCCGGAGGCGACTGCGGTGATGCAGGAAACCCCCGGCTGCTTCCTCCCCAGCCCAAATTCCCCGGGGGCACGCGATGCCCAGGGAGCATCCCAGTGGGGTGGGGGTCTGCCCTGCCCATCCCAGCTGGGAGGGGGTCCCCAGCCCCTCCTTGCCATCAGAGGGGACAGAAAACAACCTCTCCCGGGGCACATCGTTCCCCTCTGCGTCCCTATGGGGCCTTGCGCTAAGTGAGACCCATTCCCACTGTGTGCCTCAGTTTCCCCCTTTGAGGCAGGTGCAAAGCTCTGGCCACCACCAGGGCCCCCTGCGTGTCCCCGCTTGTGCCACAGCTGCACGTGGTGGCTGGGCTGGGGCTTGGGGGGGCACCTGGCAGGGCCCCCCCAGCCTCTGGGGACTCATCCCAGCACCTCGGCATTGCAGACGGGACGGGTGGACAAGAACCACCCGCTGGTGACGGGGCACACAGCGCCCGTGCTGGACATCGACTGGTGTCCCCACAATGACAACGTCATCGCCAGCGCCTCCGAGGACACCACCGTCATGGTGAGGGGCCGGACGCCGGGCGGGAGGGTGGCGGCAGGCGCGGGGGGAGCGGCGTGGAGCATCCCCCCGCCTTCGCCGCCTGTGAAGTGTCACTGGCCTATTTTTAGCCCCAGTGCCATGCGTTCGCGCTGGCGGCGGCTGCTCTCTCCATGATGCAGCAGTTTGTGCTAAATATACCTGCCCCGGCGACTCAGCACCAAGGAATAGCTGGGGGTGGGGGGCTGTGCCCCGGCCGTGCCCCCCTCCCTGTGCCCACCAGCACCCCGAGCGCTGGAGATGCACCCCAGGATGCAGGCACTGCTGCCGTCCCCTCGCCACTCTCCCCGCAGCCTGAGCCGCGATTAACGATGAGGTTAATTGGCTCCGAGGCCCTCAGCCGCATAGCGCTCACCCGCGGGGTGATGCCCGCTGCCCCACACCCCGCTCTCCGTCCTCACCCAGGTGTGGCAGATCCCCGACTACGTCCCCGTCCGCAACGTCACGGAGCCAGTGGTGACGCTGGAGGGACACTCCAAGCGGGTGGGCATCATCTCGTGGCACCCCACCGCCCGCAACGTCCTGCTCAGCGCAGGTAAGGGGGTCCCGGGTCACCCTCCCCGGGGTCGGGTGGGATCCGCGGGGTGACGGCGTCCATCCTGTCGGTCCTCCGCAGGCTGTGACAACCTGGTGATCCTCTGGAACGTGGGCACGGGGGAGATGCTGCTGGTGCTGGAGGACATGCACACTGACCTCATCTACAACGTGGGCTGGAACCGCAACGGCAGCCTCCTCGTCACCACCTGCAAGGACAAGAAGGTCCGCGTCATCGACCCTCGCAAGCAGCAGGTCGTGGCGGGGAGGGGCCCCGCCCTGTCCCCCCACCCACCCGCCGCCG